ACTGTGGGATTTGCAATAATTGCAAAGCTTATCTAAATATGTCCATCAACGGAACATCAGGTCAGCATCATTGAGGAGCATAGAAATCCACTAAGCTATTGGACCAGAATATTTCGATCTCTTGAGGGGATGGCAATACGCTTAGACCTAGTAGGTGAAGTGTGCAAAATCTGTTATTGAAATTGGATTCTTGTGCTAAGTTGGTCGATAGGCTGGTAGTTAAACCATTAGGAAAGGATACAGGCATAAATAAGAGGTCCTAATCTGTGACGTATTTTTATGATAGATTAATCAAAGAAACGTAGACATGAAGACCAAGATGTTGTGGCCTCTATTTTAGTTGCAATCTCCTTTAGATGTATAAATGTGGTCTGACCTCACTCGTCCCCTTGACGAGCTGTAGCTTGGTGTTGAGAACAGCAAGACGGTGCCGGTTTAATATCTGGGAATGTACCAAATCCGCGGGCCAAAACTGTCAACTATAAGAACTATTATAGCAAATGAGTTAGAAGATTCAGCCCTGACGACGCGACTAAGTTTCGAAAACAAAATCAGGCCACTTCTTAATATAGGAAAGTTTTTTTATAAGTTCTTGCCTCTAAGTCTAGCTAGGCGTATCCGAATTTGCGCAGTGAAGTCAAAATGTTGTCTTGTATATCATTCACTCTGGAGACGCCTGAAATGTTAGTAAGACGATTTCATAGAAGTATTACAAGGGATAATCGAGAAGCAAGATAGTTTAATATCGAAACTATGAACAGCATTTATTTCGAATTTATAAGTCTAAAGACATTTCACCAATGCAAAATGTATTCAAGTGGTTTGACCCCATTTCGAAACTTGGTGGTATTGTCAGGGAGATCTAAATAAACCTATCTTGTCCGAAGTCCATAGTGTCCATGATAATTTCCAGCATCATAGGCACTATGGATTCTAGACAAGGTGTGTTTCCTTAGATCTCCCCGATAATACAATCAAGTTGCGAAAATGAGGTCAAACCATTTCTATACAACGAAATAGTACCAAACCCTTTTGGACTTTACACCCTCGAATAAAATAAACGTAAATAATTAAAAGTCATCAGATTAAACAATGTACAGCCTACTTCGGCGATCCTAATCAAGCAAGAATGAAAGAATGTTGGTATTGCCTAATAATATTGTCTTGTGTAAAAAAGTAAAATCAGTGTGTGAGATTAGGTCGTTGATTTTAGACACCGTATCTGTGGTTAGTCATAATAATGATAGAGACTATGATGATGATTATAAAAATTAAAAGTACTTTTAATGAAGTAGGATGAAAGCAAGGGAACTAGCGTACTTACTGATTTAAGTCGAGAACCAAACCCAAATCGGCTACTAGAGCAGTATATTCAGCAGATCGAACCAAATCGTTATCGCAGCCAAACTTCCTCCCGCTTCCTGATGCCCCTTGTTGGTCAACAGATGCCTGAAACAAGGTAGAAAAGGCACCGTTCGACATGCCAGACGGAGGCAAATCGGGATAAGGTTGGATGGAGGGCAGTAGAGCGGCCAGGCGTTTACACGGGGGCCAAGCCGTTGCACCATTACCCTCATCATTAGATGTGTCAAGCGACAGGGGAACGGGGGCTGCAAATACGTATGATGGCGGAGGAGAGGTGGATCGAGATGAAGAAGAGGATGGAGAGGGAGAAGGTGAGTGTGAGGATAACCAGCTCGGGGAACAACAGTGGGAAGACTTGAAGCCAGCATGGCAGCAGTTAAACAAAGCAGGCAAGAGCAATTGCGAATTTGAGTTTGATTGGCAAGTGTAGCATAGCGCTTTTCGCGAACGAACGAAGGTTGCTTCTGCAGCCTGGGATTGAGATGTGTAGTCCTTAGACCGTATTTGGTGATCGTGATGACAGGGAAGAGGCTGAACAAAGGGACTATCGAGGCCAGGAATGCGAGGCTGGTGGAGAAAGCAGTTGGAACGAAGTAGAAGATGATAATGATGATGATAGTAATAACGATGATGACAGTGACTATGGCGATGAAGACACTTGGAAAAGTAGCCTCCTCTGCAGGATCCTTCCCAGGTTTTCCACCTAGAACAGGAAAGCTCAACCTCCTCAGGCTGTATATCATTAGTTTGATCATCTCTGGTACTGATGCTTATATCGTAGCTGGGCCCTGAATCAGAGTTTGTCAGGGGCCACTTAAAACTAGCTCCAATTTCGTTCGAAATTGGTTCAATCGAGTCGACAAGCCGTGTTGAACGACCAACTTCAGGGAGAGTGCTTGGAGTCGATGAGACGGGTAGCGATGAGAGGCATGAAGACGAGGCGAAGGATGAAAATGTAATAGAAGGGGAGGAATTCGAATAACTGGAACATGAAGAACAAACGAAACAGCAGACGGTGGCAGCATCAGTTAGGTCCCGTCGTTGGACAGGAAGCTTTTGGTGTAGCCTGCTCAAAGGAGGACAACCAAAAAATCTCAAGGGTGGTTTTGTAGTGGATTTGGCTCTACTGCCTGGATAACCGATGCGAATTAAGATGTTCTTTTATGAGATTTAATAAAAAGAAACAATAAAGTACGTTTAGAGTATTATGAAAAAGTGGCACAAGATAACAATAAGTTGTAATCGACAAGGGGTTTTGGCAAAACGAGTTTGTCAGACAATGAAAGTCATAAAAAACGTGAGTTAGGGCTTAATGCAGCTTAGAAACACCGATAGTCTTGGAAAATGATAAAGAGTAGGTGGCCATATTTTTTGTAAATAATTCCTAACAGGATGTTGGCACTTAAACAGAATATTTATGAAAAGTTGGCTCATTTTTAATTTTAGTAGTCACTCAAAAAATAGTTATTGCAAATGAAGCAAATTTTCTATATTTGAAACTCATACTCAAATGTCAGCAATAATAAAATGAAAACTCTAAAAGAGTATGTGGAGGAAAAAAGCTGTTTAGACTATTTTTTCCGTAACAAAGAGAATAAATACACAATGTTAAACAAATATGAGCTAACAAGTAGATTACATTTAATCTAGTGTAGGAATCATAATTGCTTGCGGCAACGCTATCAGTTTTGCTGATGGGCACAAATTAGCAAGTACATTCTGAATAAGATCGCTTGCTTGTGCCATGTCTAGTTTAGAAGTCAATCCAAGAAAAATAGCTTTAGTCGTCGCAATGATACATTGCTCTTATCACAAGGTTTTCTATGTTTGTTAATTAAGTTTTTGGATCGTTCTGGCCTCCGAAATTAACTTAGCATAACCAGCTCCAGGAATAAGTAGGCCCTATGTGCATATGTTATCGATTCATTTACCAAATCTAACTTATTTTCTTGGGAAAAAGGTAGTGCAATACAATATTCAAGCTGTTGCAGTAAGGATTAAACATATTAGCGAATAGTTATAATGACGTTACAGTAATTTATCTACAAAAGTCATTCAAGTTTTTAGCTCAAGTTTGAAAATGCTGTTACTATAAAGAAAATGTGGTATCTTATAGCGTTGATCCATTGTGTTGTATACACAAAAAATAAAGGTATCATCTATATGCCGGCAGAATAATTATGTTCTCAAGATCACTGACAGGCAACGTGGAGCTTAAATGCGGCAGGAAGAGGGGACAAAGCTGATCCCCCATTCCAATATCAATTATTTTGTTACACAGCTGACTATTAAAGAAATTTACATTCTAAGTATTCTGGAGGCAACTTTTCAAAATGCTCTGCTATCAGCATAGAGTTTTAAGGACTCTTCATTATTTGCGCAGTAACAATTTCTATGCGTAGAAAATTTAAATAAAGATATGTAGAATGAAAGCATGCTTTTATCCCTCATGATCATAATCTTGATTATATCAGTAAATGAGGTAGTAAACCAGCAACCTTCTGGCTAGCTCTAAGCGTCATGAAGGCCCCAGGAAGACTTATGATAGGAAATAATCGTCATAGAGAAGAGCTTTAGGGGTGTCATTTTTTAAGCCTTGTTCAAATCGTAAGAAACAGATACAAGGTTTCACAAGAAGATATTCCTCTTAATCAGTAGTATTTGCATCAGCAAAGGCTTAAATATCCAAACGCTTTTCTAGCAATTTCTGCTGAAGGGAAAAAAGCAAATAGCACCTTATCTCGAGACAAAACTTTATTTTAAATACATTGTAAGCCAAAAATGAGAGTTTGACCAGTAATGAAAATATAATATAATACAAAAAATGTACAAAAATGAGGTATCTTTGTGAAGGAGTGAGTTAGTCGATTTAAAGCGTGACACCAAATTAGCATATTTCCTAGACTCTTAATGGAATATAATAATGCATAGTATCTATTTTGCCGCCTAATTACGGCGAATACTATTTAAATACTGATTCAGAACTGCCAATCTGACCAATAAATGACATACCTTGCACCCATTAAAAATTAAATGTAGGCCAAGCAGTTCAAGATAAGCTGAATACACTAAGGAATTATGAAAATTAATCTAATATAAAGACCCGAATAAAGTGTTATTATAGAATAGCCAAATGGCTTGCATAACATTGTTACACCATAGACTCTAGTCTTCTTAAGCTCTCATTTAGATCACAATAAATGCCCCCCTTACTCCACTCTGATAATTCGGGCTAAATGAATAGAAGTTGTTTGACTTTGTTTTCGCAACATGGTCATATTGGTAGGAAGACTTAGAGGAACGCACCGAGTCCGGAGTCCATTGTCTGCATAATCATTTCCAAAGTTGAACTATGGACGTGGTACATTCACACGTCCACGGTTCAATTTTGGAAATGATTATGTAGACAATGGACTCCGGACTCGATGCGTTCCTCTAAGTCTTCCTACCAATATGACCATGTTGCGAAAACAATATCAAACAACCTCTATACAACGAAAGGAGACTGTGACCACACAAAAGGCCACACCATCTTGGTCTTCATACCTTCTATTAGATGAATAGAAACTCACCTGGGAAGAAAGGTCTCGATGAATAAGATGCCGCTTGTGCAGATATCCAAGACCCTCGATAATATCAAGAGCTAGGCAAGCTCTGACCTCCCATGATAGTTCTACATTACTAGCCTTCAAGAGATCAACCAGGCTGCCACCATTAGCATACTATAAAACAAAAATATTGAGAAAAATAATCAATCCCAGATTGTGTTAGATCACATAAATTTATGGAAAAAGCAATTTATTGGCTTAGTGATGAGTCAAAAGCCTTTGAATAGAAAAATACTGGAGGCATTTCATATTCCCAAATATAAATGATTTTTAAAAACCAAAATCATTATTTCCCTGAACAACTTAGCATCCTTAGAGCAACAGTATTCTAAGATCCATTTAATCTTGAGGAAAGTTTACGAATGTTCCATCTAGCTATAAAGCCACATAAATGGACCCAATTAGATTGGTGAGAATGAATTCTTTAACGTATTATGCTAATTCCAAATATTTGTATATCCTTGAACTTTTAAGAAAAGATGAATGGATGAAATTTTGAATAGTAAAGTTCATTGTATAACCCCAAATAAGCTCTGATACTGCGAAAGTACGACCATCATTTTATAATTTATATGGAATGTGAGA